GCAACAGAAGAAAGACACGACAATGGTGGATTTCGAGCAGTTTCCAATTGAGAAACCAGAAACTTCTCAACCGACTTCTGGTGGTTCCACTACGGATGATTTGCAGGATTATAGTCTCGCCAGAGATAGGGTGAGACAGACGAATATAAAGCCTCCGAGTAGATTGGGTTTTGAAGACTTGGTATCTTTTGCACTTATTGTTAGCAGTGATGATCCGGTTAATTTTCATGATGCTGTTACTAGTCAGGAAAACGACAAGTGGATGGCAGCCATGGTTGAGGATATGGAGTCTTTGAATCACAATCGTACATGGGAGTTGGTTCACCTTCCTGAGGGTAAAAAGCCGATTGGTTGCAAATGGGTGTATAAGAAGAAACCAGCAGTAACAGAAAAAGAGGGGGAGAAGTTCAAGTTCAAGGCTCGTTTGGTAGCAAAGGGTTTTCCACAGCAGAAAGGAGTTGATTATGATGAAATTTTTTCTCCTGTGGTCAGGCACACTTCAATCCAAGCAGTACTTGCATTGGTGGCCAGTTGGGATTTGCATTTAGAGCAGATGGATGTTAAAACTGCTTTTTTGCATGGTGATTTAGAGGAGCAGATCTACATGCGGCAACCTGAAGGTTTCACTCAACCTGGAAACGAGCATTTAGTTTGCAAATTGAAGAAATCTTTGTACGGGTTGAAACAGTCTCCGAGACAGTGGTATAAACGGTTTGACTCCTATATGATCAAGATTGGCTACAACCGATGTGAGTATGATTGTTGTGTCTATGTTAAGAGCCTTGCTGATGGTTCTTTTATTTTTCTATTACTGTATGTTGTTGATATGTTGATTGCTGCGAAGAACATGGATGATGTTATCGGTTTGAAAACTTTATTGAGTCACGAATTTGATATGAAAGATTTAGGTGCTGCAAAGAAAATTCTTGGAATGGAAATTTGTAGGGACAGAGACTCAAGGAGACTGTGGCTATCTCAACGGGGTTATGTTGAAAAAATGCTAGAAAGGTTTGCGATGAGCAGCGCAAAACCAGTTAGCACTCCATTGGCGAACCACTTTAAGCTCTCATCAGAACAGTGCCCTAAGACAGATAAGGAAGCTGAAGATATGGCAAAGGTTCCGTATTCTAATGCTGTTGGCTGCTTGATGTATGCAATGGTATGTACTCGTCCTGATTTAGCTCATGCTGTTAATCAAGTTTGTGAGTACATGACTAAACCTGGTAAGAAACATTGGGAAGCAGTCAAGTGGATCTTTCGATACTTAAAGGGTACTGTGGGACATGGAATTATTTTTGGTAGTCAACGAGATAATCCTTTGGTTGTAGGATATGTGGATTCAGACTATGCAGGTGACTTGGATAATAGAAGATCTACGACAGGGTATGTTTTTACTCTTGGTGGAGGACCTATTTATTGGAAGTCTATTGTTCAGTCTGTAGTGGCACTATCTACAACTGAAGCTGAGTACATGGCAGCGGCTGAAGCTGCAAAAGAAGCTTTATGGCTCACTGGTTTAGTGAAGGAGTTGGGTGTTCAGCAAGGTGGAGTTCAGCTGCTTTGTGACAATCAAAGTGCTATTCACTTAGCTAAGAATCAGGTATATCGTGCTAGAACTAAGCACATTGATGTACGTTTTCACAAGATCAGAGAGTTGGTTGCATCTGAAGAGATATTGTTTCAGAAGGTACACACTGATGAGAATGTCGCTGATATGTTCACCAAGCCAGTTACGACAGACAAGTACAAGCATTGCTTGGACTTGTTGAATGTTTCAAGTTGTTAAAGAACTAAGGTAACCCAACCCACATTGAATGTTTCCTAAGGGGCAGGATATTCGCCAAGGTGGAGATTTGTAAGGTATGGCTCATAAATATACCGGTAAAGAGGACAGGGGATGGAGTGAGCGAAGTGAACATCAACTGTCCTTACAAAGAAAGTCTCGTAATGTGGGTTGGGGGTGCGGGGGCTGCGCCGCCGCGGTACGGTACAAGGTTAATTTTGTAATTATGTACCAGGGTTTTCTATTATAAATAGAGATGTAACCTAAACCTATGAGAATTGAATAAAATTTTCTAGCGCCGCCTAGGCACCGAGGACGTAAGCACATTGCCGAACCTCGTTAAAATTCTTGTGTTCTTTCGTTTACTTTGCCCGATTTATCAACAATATCCCATTGAGTATGATGACGGTGGCTATGTGAACTCTTCTCGGTAACCGCTTGGGTACGCCACTGGCGTGGATCTGCGTCCAGATGCATGCAGACTGGGGTCTTACCTTCGAGTAAAGGTGATTATTGATATTACTCGACCACATAGTACTAAATTGCGACCACAACGCAGCGTAACATCCGCATCGTAATGTTTTTAAAGGTTACCGCGACGTAATATTGGCACAACGTGATAAGGGAACCGCATCACGATTGTTGCGTTCAAAAACTGTTACGTAACACCACAACATGCTATAAATTGCGCCGCAACGCCACAACAAACTTTAAATTATTTTAAATATAAAATTACATAGATGAATTGCTCTAATTTAATTTTTAAAATGGATTATAAATATATATCATTGGTAATATTGTAATAGTTATGTTTAAAATTAGTTACTTAAATTTGAATTAATTCAATTATTTATTAATAGTATTTTAAAATTAAATTAATTTAAATTTAAATTGAATTTTTTTCATATTTAAAATTGACGTGATTAATAATTTTAAATTAAATTTTTATATTAACATTAAGTATCATAATTATATATTTATTTATTATTATATAAATTTTGTATAAGAGATGAATTCACTTTATAATATTATAATAGTATATGTATTTTATCTATTTACTATGAAATTATAAAATTTTATCTAATTTATTTACTATAAAATTTTATCATACAACATGTTTCCTACCAATGATGCATCTTATGATACACATAATGTGATGTCTTCTTCGCATAGAATATGAATTCAAAACCAAGACAATGACGAAGATGAAAATGTTTTAAGATCTGTCACACCATTTATTTTGATGGTGAATTATAAAATATATAATTTTTATATTTGTAGTTATATATTTTTTTCTTTCTACGTTATGTACACTACACCAAAACGGAGTTTTAGTGACGTTTTTAGTCCTATAGCGGCGTTTTTAAGTGCCGCTAAAAGCACTTGCGACGATAGAAAAAATACCGCACGAAACGCCAACCATACCAGCACCGCTAAAGTTAGCGGCGTTTGAGAACAAAAAACGCAGCAATAGGTCAAGATCTATCGTGGCGTTTTTGGAACAAACGTCACAAAAGGTTGATATCTATTGCGACGTTTTTGGAATAAACGCCGCAAAAGAAAGATATATATAGGGGCGTTTTGGAACAAACGCCACAAAATGTCGATATCTATAGCGTTGATATCTATAGCGGCGTTTTGGAATAAACGCCGCAAAAGGTTAGATCTATAGCGGCGTTTTTTGATACAAACGCCGCTAATTACCTTTCTTTAGCTAAGATTAATTGATTTTGCATATTTCATTTCTGCTCTACATCACCTAAATTTAATATCATGTTGCTTTATCTAATTAACAACAACCATATATTTTAATTAAGACACAAATTATGCAGAAAAATACTTAACAACAAAATAAATTAAAATTAAATATCATGTAATAAATTAAAATTTATAATCATCACCTAAATATGCACTCACACATATCACTCAAAACTTTGAATACATCAAAATTAGGGTCAATGAGTTTGTATGACTGGAGGCACCTCTGCTCCATCAGTTCTCTAAGTTCATCTACACTAGGCAATTGGAAATTTGGTCTTCCAATAGCAGAATTGTAGCTTATAGAAATCTTCACCTCTCCCAATGGCGTTGAGGCAATTTCAAGACTAGAAGGAATTTCTTTAGGAACAGTAGCAAGGTCACAGCTGCTATGCCTCTCACTCATTGAAGCTCAAGCACCAGCTCCAACGATTTTATCTGCATGCAGGGATTCTGGAGGTTCCTGCTAGTTTGGTTTTGCAGTCAAAAAGTTCCCCGCTGAAAAACCTCTTTCGTTTAATGAATCTGTAAAAAATGTTAATAGTAAAATAAATATGGACTAAAATCATTAGAAAATAGAACAAAAACAAAAAACTTAAGAAAGCCATCAATTATAATTTTAATATCCAACAATATAATAGTAATAAATGTTAATTAGCATATTTTCTATCTCAAAGATGTATTTATATGCAACAACTAGGATCAATCATTGAAGTAATTACCAAAAAAAGTATTCTTAAACATATTGATTGACAAAGAGTCCTCACTATGGTATTCAGCTTCCCCTAATATGAGCAGCAAAATTTACAAGTAAGATGGCAAGCTGCATCTTGGAGAAGGAATCACTGGCACAAAGACAGGATGCTTAAGATCAAGAGGTCAAGAGAAGCAATGTAATAATAAATTAAATAAAAAAATGGACTGCCACTTCAGGAAACTGAAGAAGCATTTTCTGGAGTACAAACATCTAACCACTAAAATAACATAAATTCAAACCATTAAATCGTAAAAATGAAGAGGTTGCACGTATATTGAATTCCTTGTCTAACAGTGATGTAAAGCACAACCAAAATGTAAAAGAAGGAACAAGTATAGACTGCAACTTCATTATCCTATGGAAAAGAGCATATATATGCATTACATTTCTACTCCTCTTTCTTTGGTAATAGATTAATCATCTGTCTCAAGTACTGTTTGGGGAAACAAGCTGAAATCATGAATGTCTAACTCTAACCAGAAATTATGGTAACAGGTTTACAATATGAGGCCTAAATAATATGACAAAAATCCATGGGATATATACCAATATAGCACACTCTAGACCATTGATTTTATGCATATTTTTGGATAAATTGGAAATCACAAACCATGAATATTTTACCCCTTTTTTTCTATATATCCAGTCAATATGGATGGTAGTGAACTCGTGCTTAAAATAGGCACAGCCAAAAAAACAGTTTTAGAATTCCGCACCAGTCAATAGGACCCATATTGCAGTTACTCCACCGAGAACACCAGCCGAAATCTTCTTGTTCCTCCCCAAGAACACATCGGCAGCTGCACCAAATAATTTTAAGAATAGGAACTCAAGCCTTGCATTTTCTTAGCTACTAAACAGATTATAAAGTGTGAAATAAAATGCAGATTTGTTAATCTTCCATCAAAGTAACGTTTTTGGATCATTCTAAAACTAACTGCACGGTAATTTTCACCCCAGAGTCCATCAACTTCATAAAAACAAAACTAACACAAAACCCGGATCTCATTACTTGAAATGAAAAGTGAAAGAGGGGTTTGAGAGTACGTACGCTTTCCACCACCAAGAACATGGTGAACATGTCTCTCCCTTCCAAACAACCTATAAATCTTAGCCTTAACGGAGCTAGGAGTAGTGGGTTTCCCATGATCCGAATCAGAATCCGAAGAAGAAGACGAATCATGGCTGTGAATTTTCTCGCTGATATTCTCCATTACCGACTCTACCGTCAATTGGTTACTCTCCGTTTCCTCCGCCATTGCCAAAAAAAGTGTGAAAAGAATTCAGACCAATGCCCTAAAATGACGGATTCTTTGTCTGCGATTTTTATGGTGTCCGAACAGTAATTTTTTTGAAAGTGTCCGAACAGTAAACTGTGAGTAGGAGTATAGGGTTTTATGAAGACGATATTTAAACCTTAAATGAGAGTGAGCCCGAGGTTTGTAAACTGATGGTTGCAGCACTAAACTTTCTGAAAGCAATGTCATTGTAGCAATTTATATAGCGAGCAAAATTGAAACATCAAACACTTACCAGAATAGTGACGAGGTGACTGGATGCAACGGCAATCAAGTTCTCGTCAGACCAGACGATGGAGTTACGGTACAATGGTGAATCCACCAGTGTTGTCACCTGGAAACGTGAAGCCATTGATGTGCTCTGTTAACGGAACAAAAGAGACATTTTTATTTTATTCGTCCGGAAAAAAGTTGAAAACTTGAAACAAGTTTTGTTTTTTATTAGCTGAGGAGAAAATGAAAATTGTTGCTTTGGAGGGAAATAAGAACTGACATAGAAAGTTTGGGCTTTCATAAAAAGTGAGTGTGAAAACCCTAGTTCGAGTCCTGTTGTGGCGTTTGTATAAAAACGCCTCCAAAGTATTAATCTTTTGCGGTGTTTATTGAACAAAATGCCACTATGGGTGAACCCTATTGCTACATTTGTATAAAATCATTGCTAAAGTTCTAATCTATTACGGTGTTTATTGAAAAACGCCACTATAGGTGAACCCTATTGCGACGTTTGTAAAAAAACGCCACTAAAGTACTAATCTATTGTGATGTTTATTGAAAAAATGCCACTATAGATGGACCTATCGCGACGTTTGTGTAGAAACGCCGCTAAAGTACTACTCTGTTGCGGCGCTTATAGAAAAAATGCCGCTAAAGTTACCATTTGGAATGTAAACGCCGCTATATGTTTAAATTTAGTGGCGTTTACTCTCAAAACGCCGCTAAAGAACAGTTTTGTTGTAGTGGTAAAATTAACATTTTTATGTTACAATATAAAAATTTTGATATGATTTTAGTGATATTATTTATATGTTAATCATTAATATTATAATTGTTGTTACCCATTATCCAGTATGATAGTACTTTTATGGTTTATATTTGTTTTTAATAAATTTTTATTTTCAAAATAAAATATTAAAATAGTATATTAATATTAATATATTAAAAGATAATTGTAAAATGTATCAATATAACATTTTAGATGTATTGTATTTTTGAGGAAGAGATTATGCCTGCAACAACGGCAACACGTTACGTAATCCGTATAATTTATAACCGCGACACTGTAATTGTATCCATAACAAAATCCGCAACCGTAATTTGATATTATACTCGACCACTCTATCACTGCTAGGTTGTTGGAACACACCACAATGGAAAACCTCGATTATACCTTCTCAAATACGAGCGCCTGCCGAACTTCTGTTTTCACTATGGCCTTATTAGACATGTCTTCCCTGCTTGTCCATCTGCACCTGCTCATCCTGATGCAACTAAGGAGTTTGGAGACTGGCTACTTAGGGTCCCACCTTCGACGGTGACTTCGGCTCCGCCCCAACCTCGGTCGGGTATTGTCGTCCTCCATACAAGTAGTACTGTAGTGGTTCCTGTGGCTGTTGGTGCAAATGTGGCGGGCTCCTCCGGATTTACACTGCCAGCTTCGAGCACATCTGATGGCTCTGGTAGCTCTAATGCTTCTACCGCTGCCTTGATCACTTCGAGCCCTGTTCCTGGAACACAGATTACTGCAAGATATCAAATAGCGTTCCGAAAACGCGATAGCGACCGTTATATTGCGGCCGCGCCACCGTCCGAAATCGTTTTTTATGGTTTTTGTGGTGGGTCACCGATTCACACCAATTTCGATCAATTGCGTCCATGATATAACGGGAAACAAACGATTGCGCCAATAACGGGACGCAACGATCACCCGTGAGTCCAAGACAAAAACAAAAATAAACATTCCCTCTGCAATCAAGCATTCACCCAACCGTATACAAAAACAAAAATCAAAATGAAGGGAATGGTAGAATCAAATACCCATTACCACACATCTTACAAAAAACCATTCGAGAAGGGGAAGAGCCGGAAAAACAAAGCCCAGTAAATAGAAAGTCTTCTGTCCTTCGAGCTTCGCCGCCGATTAAGGATTAGATCAAGCTTCTTACTTCCATTTAAGAAGGTAAAATTGTAAAAGTTGAAGAAGAGTGAAATGGGTGGGGGTGAAACGAAGAAGATTGAACTGGGGAATGAGGATGGGAAGAAAGAAACGAAGAGCTGAAGTGAACTAGTGAAGAAGATAAGTTGAGAGAAATGAGAACTAGGGCCGGTCAATTACTCATATTAAAAAAAAGAAAAAGAAAATAGGTAAAATTATTTCATGCACCGGTGAAGAAAATTTATTTTACAAGCTAGGTTCTAAAGAATTTAAACTTTTAATATTGTCATATATTTTATTTAAGATTTATGAGTTAGCATTTTAGAATTTAATTCTTAATTCTTTTTAATTCTTTAATTTAATTATTAATTTAGATAGTAAAGTTTAATTTTCATTTAATTTAGTCCTAATTTTAGTAATCGAAATTTCAAATATTTAAATTTTATACTTTTATTTTAATTCTATTTGATTTAATCATTTTTAAAATCTTTAAAAATTATTACTTATAATTATAATTATTTTAATTATGTTTTAAGATAAGTTGTTCAAAATTAAAAACAAAATTACGACCGCGACACCCGCAGTGAACGCGATGACATCTGTTATCTCCGCAACTGCGATAAACTCGACGCGACCGAAAACGTGACCGCGAACGATATTTAAAACCTATTGTTACTGCTACTCGATCAAGACTGGTTCGTGCTTTGAAACGTACCAGCACATCGACCTCATCTAGGGGAGGATCTCACTCCATCTAAAGTCTAAACGTCCTGGTGTTCGCAGACTTGACCTTAACCGCTCGGCATCGGCGATAGTTATATCTCACTCACCTAACGGTTCTCTGGCGGCGGCTGGTTCCCAACCCCGCCGCTCATTATGAAAATTATAAGCTGGAACTATTGTGTTTGGGAACCCACAGACAATTCAATGTGTAGAGCAACTTATTGCTCGAAAGGACTCGGACCTGGTTTTCTTCTGTGAAACTCGCTTGCAACAACCACGTGTTGATACCTTGATTGAAGTGCCGTTTGGAATTGGAGGGACGTTTCTTTGTTCCTAGTAGTTCAACTTGCACTAGCTTGATTTTGTTTTGGCGACATTCGATCTTTGTTTAGCTTCTCTCCTATTCTGATTTACACATTGATGTCACGATTGCTGGCGACTTCTCTGGTTTTCGCTTCAGCGGATTACATGGTTGTAGTGATAGGCGGCGCCACCAAGATACTTGGACTTTGCTTGATCGTCTGCGTTCCAACTCCTCTCTACCACGGATTGTTGGCGGGGACTTCAACGAAATCCTCCTGAATTCGGAGAAGACTGGTGGGCAACAACGCTGCCGAGCTGATATGCAGGCTTTTCGGGAGGCGTTGCGTCGAAATGATCTGTGGGATTTACGGCCACAGTGAGATTGGTTCACATGGCATAAAGGCACATCAGGTTCATCACCTATTTGTGAGCGCTTGGACCGCTTTGTCACCTCCTCCATTTGGCGAGCTTTTTTCCCGAATGGCACATATACGAGTGAATTTCTGACAACGTCGGATCATTGTTTTATAATGCTCGACACATCTCCCAGTGCTGGTCCAGCGGTTACTGTGCGCCATGACCATTTTTGTTTCGACGAGTGTCAGAGTGCTGATCCGAATTGTGTGCACAAGGTTCGTGATGTTTGGGCCACTGTTGTGCCTTCTGTCATAACGTCTCCCCGAGTTATCCGTTAAACTTAAAAAATTTGGATTTTGAGGAAGGTGATGAAATGTAATTTCGAAAACGATTCGATTTTGGAGTCGACACCAACTATTAAGTTAGGTAGGTTGAAAACTTTAAACATCAAAAAATTGTCTGTGTTTTTACCAAAGATTCGTTTTTAAGAGTTCGGAAGTCGGTTACGTATAGGGAAGGGTTAGCACCCCCACAACGCCTAAATTTGAGTACCTAAACGATTATATGTTGTTTAAATATTGAAAATTACAAACTCAAAAATATTTTTAAATTAAGATACTTTTATTCATTTGACTTTATTCAAAAAGTATCAATTTTCGGATAATTAATGCCATTTTGTTTGAACAATCTTTAGGAAAATACTTCCTTTACAGTTAGGAAACTTTCTCATAGTTTCCACTCACAAAAGATATTATTTCATAATTTTCGTAAAGATAAAATAACATAAAATAAAGCAAAATAAAAGGGAAAAGAGTTGAACATAATCAAAATTAATAAACGCGAGACAAAGAGAATTATTGAATACAAAATAACCATTTTTGCGAAAAATCCTCGAAAAAACACATTCCCTTGTAGTTGGGAGATGTCTTAGTAGATTTCCCTCACAATAAAATTTTCCATTTTCATAATTTTAGAAAACAAAATGAAATATCAAATAAAGTCAAAGCAATAATTCCAATGTGCACCTAGATATGAGACCAAAATATAAACATGAAAGAAAGAGTCAATAACAAAAATATCAAATTTCACATATAGCAGCATCAAGGACTAAAACAAAATGAAATATAAATCACAGACCCTATTATATAATAATTACAGGAATTAAATCTTAATGTAATCAAAACAGCAAGGACTAAACTGGTAATAAAAGCAAAGTCAACACAAAGTTAAAATCATTGGCCAAAATGCATATAGAGCCAAAGTACAGGGATTACAAACATAAATAGAACATGCATTTCCTTTACACAGTAACTAGTGACTAAAATGAACCAACAAGAAAATATACTGCATATGTATCAATAAACTAAAGTAGGATGGCTCAGACACAAATATAAACACAAAAATATTTGAAAGCAAATAAGGACTAAATTACAACAAAAATAAAATAGGAGCTAAAAATGGAATGGTGAAATTTCATTACAGTGACCAAATTACAAACATT